TTTGAACCTTTTCTAAAGTTTCTATTAGTTGCCGAACATCTTTCTAACAAACCACTTTACTCTATTAATTAAAAAAACAGGCAATTGTGCCTGATCATCAAAAATAGTTTCCATTATCTGCATTAGTAATTTGTTATCCATATGTGAAAGCACTAAGAACACGCTTAACATAATATACATTTAAACGCAATACAATACTTAAATGGCTGCATTAAAATATTCCTTGTTATTTGTATTACAGATTCTCCAGCAGCAGAAAAATTGGATTACTCAGATCCTGAAGTAGAGCCGAGCATTCCTATCAGAACTACATTTGCTCAACAAGATAGCATTTATTATTCAACAACGAACTTTTCCCCAAGTAACGCGGAGACCCCAAATAAATTTGTAACAGGCAGGGTCCATATTTTTATAGCTTCAATTTTAGGATATATTTTATCACATTATGTTCAAAATTCTCTTTTTGTTCCAGTTTTCTTATGTATAATATTCGAGATATTTTATCTTAAAGGGCATCAAAACCCACAGAATAACATCCTTTCCATAATATTACCTGTCGCACTTTTGTTCACAGGTGCTTTTTTAGGTAATAAAATCAGGCAAATTAATCGTCTTCTCTCTATATTACAATCTCTAATTATTAATCTAGCAGTAAATATATTCTGTATATGTTTAAGTAGTTATTTATTTAAATTACAGAGTGTAAGTCATGTTGCTGATATCAAATAAATAATGTTCAATTGTTATGTAATTTATTTGCAGCCTAATAGTATGGGGTCTGCTATATGTTGACAGTAAATACCGTTTTGATGTAAAATAAAAATACTATATTGTGTTCCTACTGTCCCTTATGTACTGCTCTGATAGCCAGCAAACGGCGAGTACAATCTGTTTATCGCGCAGTTTACAGTCAACAGCCCGAACTCTATACTGACGACGGAATCTCCCAACATGACTGTGAGAGCTGTAGGGCTGCAGCTTCCGACCCTCTCAAGCGGAGATGTTGGTTTCGCAGAGGACGGCCCGATAAAGGCAACGACCACTGGGATATTGCTCAATTTTCACAAGAGTCTGACTTGGCCAGAACTGGTCGAGGTGTTTGCCTAGAAACGGAGTCAGGTTTTCCCATAATTCAGGACTCATAGAAGCGTGCGCTCAGTTCCGTGGTTGTACCTGAATTCTAAAACCGTCTTTGTAAAGCTCACGTGCCTAGAGAAGTTATTGTCAGCTTTTCTCTGACTAATAGCTTCGTCAGATCAAGAAGCTTAAAGTTGCCATAGCACCCCCACCGAAGTCAAGGACACGCTTGGACGATAAGTCCTAGGCACGTCAAAGAAACGGAAGAGCACTCATTCAGAGTAAACTGTGCCAATTTACAGTCGGATGGCCAGTATTTTGAATCTTTAATTGATATTACTTCATTATATCATTACACTCTTCCAGTATCAGGTCAGTGGTTGAAATTACCCTGAAAAGCTTATTTATCCAAAGCAGTACTGTTTCTGACGGCGATAACGTACTCCTCTCGACAGGCTTTCATCACGGTGCAAAAAAGATCCTGATCGGCACGCAAAGATGTGCCCAATGCACTGTCGGGAACCTTGAGATCTTCGCCTAAGTCCTCCGTTGTCGTTCATCAGACATAGGTAGCCACCATCACTAATAGCGATTAGCTGGAAGACCTCTCGTTTTACATCCATATTGTCGGAGGAGGGACAAAAATCCTCGTACTTTTTCTGTGTAAATATGTAGATGTCAAAAAGATGAACTTTGGCGTGGCCATGCTTGCCTGTCTTTGAGGTATCCACTATCTTGCAAGGGCGTCCCTTAAGCATCACATATCCATTTTTGCGCAGAGCTGAACATTGCAACTATAAAGTTGCAAATGCACTCGAGTCGCCGCCGAATTCATGCTGTTCAGAATCCGACATTTCGCGGCACGCTGCGTAGAAAAGTGGTGTGGAGTTACGCTCATCTTGGCTGTCATGCCGTCCCCTTAATTCGACCATTTTAAAAACTACTCTTTAGACGTGCAGACTGAGTGATGAATGGTCTTTTGTGACAATATTGCAGCCGAATGGGTCAGACGCAACTTTCGCCGTTGTTATATCGCTTGGAATGGACCTGTTAGAGGTGAGTCTATTTTCCCGGGAAGACTCTTCCAGCATGAGGCAAATAGATTTGGAACTGCTTCGGCAGAACTACACATTTTTCTTAAATAGGTCCCTTCTACCTTCGGCTAATACTACATCCCGCTCTTTTGAGGTGCAAGCGGATCCCACACCACTGGGGTGAAAGTAGGGATCTTGTTCAGGTTTCGTCGAAAATAGGTGCCCCTACCTGCAACCTTCTACCTGCCTCATTTGGCGCCAGCGAGAATTATTGCGTTGGGAGTGTTTCTTGCAGGAAGCTAATCGCTAAGCTGCGCAAGAGTGTATACGGTAAAGGCGAAACAGCCGCTGCTATTCGTTTGTAATGTAAATAAATGAGATTAGAATGGATTAAAGTCATAATTATTAATTGAGACATTTTATCCATGCTAGACGCTATCTCTAGTGATAGACGAACCCCAGAGACAGAGGGGTATTAAGATGACCTGGCCCTTACCTTATCAAAAGCTGTTGATTTAGTTTTAGCCCATTCACTAACCCGCATCAAATCAACACTACAGCTATCAACACATTCACTTATTTGTGCTACACATCATTGAATATCATATACATATGGACATCACGCGTAAGTAAGGCTTTAGAAATCTCATTAGCGTTAATTGTAAAAAGTAAAGGTCCTAATACTGAGCCTATTGATATGAAGAAGGCGCCACGTACATGTATATGCAGTTACGGCCTATCTTTTATCAGGCTTATCTTTTAGCTATGGTTAGATTAAAGTATTTCAAAGGCATGACAAGAAGAGGTAAGAAAATCGTCCATGTTCTTGCGAATACCTTTACTAATTTCCAAAAGCTGGATATTCTACCATGTACTATTCTACTAACCACTCAAGAAAATTGTTATTTGGTCTGTACTTAGGCATTGTTTTAAGTAATGTAATTATTAAAGTAATTTTCTAGCGAGGGGGAATGTGGAAGTCGTAAAGGCTGCGCTAAAAATGTACGTTAGCTAGCTTAAGATAGTATCTAATATGGTCTTGCTAGTTAAGGCCAATTTCGTTAGATTCGATACTAAGGTAGCTTTTCGGACAGCATCAAAGATTGGCGCAAGTAAACGAGAATAGCCCACAATATGTTTCAAATACAGTTAATTGAACAACATTTAATTTAATTTATTAATATCTACTTCATCCTCATTTATTGGAATATTTCCCTCTTGTATAGTCTATTAAGCCGGGGCTTCTCTTTAGGCCTAACAATCTTACTTGCAACAGCAACCGGTCAGCGAAAATGGATTATAGATCAGCATGGTCAAGTAAGGTTTATGATATTTTCCTTTGAAAGGGTGATTGTGAGCATTATGCGTGGAACACGTCAATCGGTCTTATATTGGTTCAGGGTGCACCGATTTATTGTACTCCGCCGTAAGCGTCTGTTGGAGCTTAATGCATCTCGCTATTTCTAAGCGAGAGCTATGGAGGCGCATTGGCAATGTTGACTTCAAAATTATTCAACAGTAGGGTGCTAATGGTTTCTTACTCGAAGGTTATTCAACCTTATTGACATTTTGACGCGACAAGGCATCAGCAAAGTAATTATCTTTGTCTGGCTTGAAGAACCTGTTTGCACCGGTCTCGTCGATGCGAGCTTTTCAGCGCCTTAACTTTGCGTTTAGGTTCGTTTCAAAATCTCTAACGTGAGTGGTTGGTGATCCGAGAAATTGTTAATGTCTCTCACCCCATAGAGGTAGTGACGAAGCTTTCCCAAAGGCCCAAACGTAGTTCATCTCCCTGTCTTTCAACGTTCTGGAGATCATAGTTATTGGATGCCCGTTTTGGGAAAGGACTGCCCCAATGCCGTAATTTGACGTATCAGTAGTCAGGTCAAAAGGCATACATTCACATAACGTCTACCGATGCTAAAATGTTTCTGAGTGTCTCGAGCGCGTTGCTGTCGATCTTCACTCCGCTATATGGCACTTTGGTTCGACCTAATTTTCCCCTTTTAAAATGTCCGAGATTGGCCTTGCTATTGCCGCAAAGTCTTTTATGAACCTCTATAGTAGGTGGTCAGGCCCAGAAATGATCTGACCGAGAAAAGAGTTTTTGGCTCGATGTACTGCTGAATGGCTTTAACCTTTTCAGGGCCAGTCTTAATGCCGTTATTTGTCACAATGAAACCGAGGTATTCTGCGCTTGTCCTTAAAAATTGCAATTTTCTTGAGCCACTCTGATGTAGGCTTCAAGAAAGCTTCTGACAATACTATGTGTGACGTGGTCTGCCTCGCTAAAAATCTTGGTGGGTGAATAAGAGGTGATAAAGTGTAGTATTTATATGCTTATGTATAAGTAAGGTTTTTTTTTTAAATTTTAATTGCTAACTTGGGCTTCCTATCCCCCGCTCTTTGAGCCCAGTACTGTGACTAGCTAACAATCGATATATTCATTGAATAATTTTGGGTCCATATTCCCTGCCGATAATATTTAAAAATTCAACAAATTCAATATTGCACAAAAAGAAGCAACGAATGATAAAAACAACAATTGATATAATGATATTACCATGTCTTGTGCAGAATATTGATGAAAACAAAGTAATTTAGGATGAAATAAAAGAGTTGAGCATACTATATGAATATAAACGGACTTTTCAAGTTATTCACTGAACATAAATGTGCACAAATCGAAGTAAATTATGTCAGATGATTAAAAAACAGTTAGGAAACTAACAATGTGTCCTGCCACAATAATAGAAGAGACAGAAAATGTGTTAATTCCATCGTTCCAAAAGAAGGTTACCTTGGCAGAAAAGTAATTGAAAAAATGTTATTGAAATACTCGAATTAATTTGGCCGCACTAGTTTATACGGTAAAAATAGCTAATAATATATGGTCACCCTGAATGAGAATTCTTGATGTACATACAAAAAGCGATCTAAAGTGTAGTACAGAAAATATTGATTTATAATTATCTTGACAAAGAAAGACATCTTTGTTTATACAACATGACTGATCAACGGGGGACTAGAGTTTATGTCGGTAATTTAACTGATAAAGTTAAGAAGGACGACTTGGAAGGTGAATTTACAAAGTACGGAAAGCTGAATTCAGTATGGATTGCATTCAATCCGCCCGGATTTGCCTTTGTTGAATTTGAGCATCGTGATGATGCCGAAAAAGCATGTGACATTTTAAATGGTTCAGAACTGTTGGGCTCCCAGTTGCGCGTGGAAATTTCTAAGGGTCGACCTCGGCAAGGCCGGCGCGGCGGACCTGGCGACAGAGGACGCCGCAGCGATGTCGGCAGACATAGCATAACAAACAGCAGTAGCAGCGGTGGATTCAGACAACAGCGAGGCTCCAGTAGCTCGAGTAGTCGCAATTTCGATCGCAGTTACAGTTCCGGTCGCTCAAGCGCCGGCTATGGCGGTGGCAGGGACGGAAGTACTAACGGATTCAGTCGTCGCGATGTCTACAATGGAGCAAGAGAAAGCAGCCGCTACAGCGGTGGATCTGGTTCCAGCTATGGTCGGAACGGAGGAGGACAAGGTGGAGGACGCTTTAGATCTCGGTCACCAGTTGGAAATCATCGATTCTAAAAACCAACCTTTCAATTTGAAGCTGTTAATAGAACAATATTAAACGTCTGATACGACCCAGCTACCAAATGAAATCATTGCTAATATGTACATACATATTTTAAAAACAATTTTTAAGATTTGGTTTATAATCAATAAGGAATGCATTCTATTAAAACTTACTTCTATGCTAGGAGATCAGCTTTTGGAAAAATATTCGAATACTATTTATTTTACTTACAAATTGCATCAAAATAAATTTTTATATATTCAAATTTAAGAATTAAATTAGCCAACTATAAAAAATAATTAAGTTACACATACTTAAAAAAAAAAAATATGAAATAAGTTTTTGAACGCCTAGAATACGAAAATCTAATAAAGTCAAATCCGTATTTCATACTTACGTACGCAGAGTATAGTATATAGTACTTATATATTTTTTTTCTAATTTTCATTCGTTCATATAAATTTAAAATACAAAGTTCGATAATCTGAAGGGTTTAATACCTTTGCAAACATTTGCCTTGCGGTTTTGCAGTTATGTGAGAATAGTGTAGCTATTAAATATTGATCTTGATAATAGTTGACACATATATATGCAGCATATTAAAGTAGTCTGTCAGGTTTGATCAAAATATATTGGTAAACAAAACGTTTTTGATATAAGAAAATAGCAGCAATAAATATATTGTGTTCCGATTTTAGAATTTTGCATAAGACTAATAAATGCCGAGTATAGTGAAGATATCCTGAAATGCAAAATAGTTTTTCTTACATGCATCTACTTTTCGACCGATCGTTCCTATGGCAGCTATATGATATAGCGGTCCGATGTTGATAAGATTTTGCATATACATGAGCTATCGCCGGGCTATTGGCGAGTATTTAATTAGTTGCTTAATATAAAAAATTATAGTAAGCTTAACTTTAGCAACTTTATTTATTATATTTGGCTACATCGACTGTGTCAGCTCGAGATATGTTAAAGACTAATGTGACAAATATATGACTATTACTAGCTAGCCCTAGTCATCGTCTAGGCTTGCACGCCTCGTACAAGTCGCACATTATGCTTCATCGACGATCGCGGCCACGGAGTCAGTAGCTAACGCCAGCCTGGTCATCACTATTACATTGTATCATAGTGATCAGTGGCCAAATGCATAATTATGTCAACTTCTATACGCAGCCAAACGGCAGAAGGTTGTCGTGTTTCGTTGTTGACATCCAAATCCAAAGTAGCCTACCTAAAGACGATGACTTTTCCTAGATTTTAATCGCGCGCGGCTTACCTTCTCGCCGACCAGTGCCCAACTTACTCTCTTATTATATACGAGGAGCATAGTAAAACTAATAAATGCTGAATTTGGTCAAGGTGTCTAGATAAAAAAAAAAGTTATCCAAGATATCCTATGACAGCTATATAATATAGTGGTCCGTTCCGGCCAGATCCGACAAATATACTGTCTGTAACAGAAAGAGGGGCTTATGCAAAGTTTCCAGACTATTGCCTTAAAACTGTGCGACAAATTTTGCATAGACACAGACGGACGGACTTGCCTATATCAATTCGACGCTTGATGCTGATCTAGAATATATAACTTTATGGGGTTCGCGATGTCGCTTTCTATGCGTTACACATTTTATGGCAAAATTATAATACCCTTATAATATACCAGGGTATATGTCTTCTACCTTGGTTTGGCACGGGGCCCATCTCAAACCTCTTCCGATCTTTGGATGACGGCACCCGGTTGTATAATGGAACTCCACGTCGAGCGATGCTCTACCCGCATTTGGGTGTTAAACCACAACCACCACGATACTTCTCGAAGGGCCGCAACAAAAAAAATCAGGACCTAACAAGTTCCGTGGGCTTGATTAGCCGTGGTACCAGATTAGAAGCCTCTGGTCAGGCCTCGTACCAGAACAGTACTCCCAATTTAAACTTCAAGCCGTTGAGGGTTGGGGAACCCAAAATTGTAAACACTGCTGCAGGGAATTGAACTCAATTGATGTAAACAACAATAGAAAGGTGGAACAGTACACGCCATGTTCATGGACATGGTTTTCTCACTGTTTGGAGCGAGGCCTATTTCTTCCAACTCGCAAATGACGGCATTTATTGATTGATCATTGATGAAACCTCTAGGCGGCCAGCTAGGGCCCCCAAGTCCCAAAAGACTATGGCAGAGGGAGCAGAGGGCCGAGACCGCCAGCTAGTTCCCCAGCGCCCGTGGTACCAGATCAGTTCTCTGGCAGAACTCGTACCCTAAAAGGATACTTGCACACAATGTTCATACACAACCCCCACGCTCGTACCCCCCATTTGTACCCACACATCATCCATCATCTTTCATACCAATTCTTCCTGTAATTGCAATCGTCGCCTAACAAATGTAGCTTTAGCAAACTCACCCATTCTTAAAATCCTATCGCTAGAAGAGGGTGACACACATCAATCCCGCCACTAACACACACAAAGTACAAGCTCCCATGTCTCTGCAACCGAGCTACAACGGTATTCTCAACTGTCACAAAGCCTCCTCGAACGCAAAAATGCATTGAGGAAACCGCGACCAGTCAACAGGAAACCAAGACTCATGCAAAACCCAAAGTCTGGTTGGCTAGACCGATGATTGGCACGCCCATTCTCACTTGTGTCCCACCTGACTTGCCAGTCATACAGAACACACTCGTTCACCAATCTCTTGCACTTACTAAGCCCTAAACTCTCCACATTCCTATCCACTAGCCAATCACTCTGCAGCAATGGCAGCCGCCTCTTGCTCCTGTACGTCAAGGCTCGACGCCTGATCTCCAAGTCAAGAGGGACTACTCCTACCAGCAACTGCAATGTTTCCGTGGAGACAGTGCGGCACAAAATTTAGCAAGATCATCCTCTGCCAAGCCAGCTCTTTCTTTCTGCCGACCACAATCGTTACCGCCTTACACCACACAGACGATCCTTAGCTGCACAAGCGGCAAACAGACCTTCATAAATGGGGCGGACAGCACGACTGCTTAGGCCCCACTCACTCCTCTAAATACGACGCACTTGCTCCACTAAACCAAGTAGCCGACCCTTGAGACCAGCGACTTTCGCCGAAAGTTATGCCGAGGTATTTCACCTCAATCGCATACCTGACATGCACTTCATTCAGTTTGACAACGGGTGGTCGATTGGGTAAAAGTCTGCCCTGTCCATTGCCAGACTGACCCCTAAACTTTCATTCCACTCATACACAGTGCACAAGCACATACCCGTATTCGTCTCAATCTCAAGACGCGACCGACCCTCAATCAAGACGAAAGGTCGTTTGCATACGCACGACACTTACACAGCTGTCCGAGCTGCCCCAGCAAGGTTCCACATGCCATGAATCACATCTACACTACAGTACACGCACGTCTGCCAGAGAAAAAGCTCTTCCAGAAAGCAAATTCTCGGCACCCAACCTTCTCAATACATTCGCCCAACTCAGGTAGTCGAATGCACTTTTAAAACAACAAAGATTCCTAGGTCATGGGTGAGTTGTTCGGTTGAGAACCCCTCTTACTACTACTAATAATACTATATATCTAATTCTAAAGAGTGTATTTACAATAGAAATTCTCAGGCATTGTCAGTTTAACTACACTATCAGCCAAGCTTCAAGTCGTTATACGCGATATCTATATTTTTACTTCACTCTGATAAAGTTCATAAGTAGAGCAAATATCTCGTTCCCTATTTTCGATGGGTCTTGAGTCAGAAAGAGCTTATAAAATAGGAGAGTCTATGGGTTTCCCAAAATCATATCCAATTGCAAAGGTATTGAAAGACTATTAATATTGGCACACAATTTGACTTATTTTATATTTTATTTTATATTGGTTAGCTCCTATTCTGATGAAAGTCAGAATTAAATTGTGCTGGCGAAAATGTGGTAGGCAGCCATATATATCGTTATCACCTGCACCTAGCATCAAAATTAAATTACTTGTTGTTTGTATGATAAAAATTCCCACAGATATAATTTTGGGTTGAGAACGTGTGCTGATATCTCTCAATCTGCTCAATCTATCCCAAATAATACTTTCTATTTTGGGTTTAATAAGCGTAGTATTCCACTAAAGGGGGGATAATAACTCAATAAATCGGGGTAGGGGCCAAATTCTCTAGTCGCCTAGTCCCGCGGGGCGTATATACGCCAATTTACCCTGGATGCTTTTCAACGATAACTTTCCTGTACACATGTCTTTTTCGGTTCGGAACATGCGAAGGTTCCACATTCCGCTTAGCCTAGTCAAATTCGTTTGTATGCTCGAATGAGACTGAATTGAGGAGTAATATACCCGTTCTTTTGTTGGTTTCCCATAAATTTAAAGTTAAAAAATGGTAACAAAATTAAGATGCGAAACTAAGCATTTTTAAATAGAATTTCTAAAAATTTAAGACGCGTAAAATTTTTGTAATCGGTTATGAGATCGAGGATCTATAATCAAAAATGCAGGTTTATCTCCAAAAAAAAAAGATGTAACTACTACATTTAAATTTCAAAAATAATGCACCCTTACTTAATGATCCTTAAACGAACAACACGAATGAGAATGGTTTAACGATTGATGTTGTGCCTCGAAATAACACGCCGAATGATGACAGGAGTCACGAACGATTAACGATAGGCCGGATCTTCATTCGTTCAGATTGGCAAGTAGTTCATTCGAACTTATTCAGAACGATTCGATACAATTCAGTACTATTAAAAGTAGATTGAATCACCCTGTGTAGTTCATGTTAGACATTATTATTGACAGATAACTCGAGAATTTACTTAAAAGTGCATGGGCTATTCTTTAGGTTTTTTATTATATTTTATGATCGTAAGCTAATAATGTCAAATTCGTTATTTGTGATTATTTGGTGATATACGTATATATGAGCGATAAAAAACAAAGTTTAAATTCCATAACAAAAATGTTGACATCTTCAACTCAAATATTAATAGCAATGAAAACAGCCCAAAATTGAATAAAATCAGTGTTAAATCTTCTGAAGGCGATATAAAGGAGTTGTAGTGTGTTACATGTATGTACATACATCAATTCACTTTCAAACATATGAAGTTTATATGCAAGGAAGAGTTGGACTTAATGCCTATTTGCTTTGGCATTCTAACTATTTGTTGGTGTATGACTTTTGTAGTTTGTTTTTCTCTTACATACTTACTATTCCCTTAGAATTGTCATAATTTAGCGACTCCTGGTTTATGTACTTGCATGAATTTCTAAAAATGTGTTAGTGTTGCGAATTACATATATATACATATAAATATATACATATATATATATTTATGCTACACATACAAGTGTCTTATGTACATTATGAGGCAATGTATATGGATTGTTTTGTAGTGCACACCAAAGAACCATATTTTACTATATGTAAGTATTTTATAAGTTACGCAGAATCTCTTTAATCTCATGTTTAAAATGAACAATGTATACATGGGTTTACATATAAGTGTGTACATATGTGTTCTGATAGCTAAATGCAAATGAACATGCAAGTTAATATATGTATGTTACCAAATGCAAATATAGTTCGTTGGTCGATCATTTACCTAAAAATCCTTAAAGAAATGTTAAAAAGCCAATAATATACCTAAGTTTAAAACCAGTGGCGTTACTTTGTTTAAAAAATATTTCATTTTCCTGAACGATTAATTTTTTTTAGGAGCTGAGCTCAAAATATCATTTGATTTGTAATTAAATGTTAGGAGTTACTAAAAAGTGATAAAAATGTTTTCTGTACATACTAGTTTATATGAACCCAAAGATCCGCCTAATCGATCATTTAAGATCGGTGATAAGTTTCGATTTCACATACCCACAATACGCATCCTACCAATAATGCGACTAACATATTTTTTTGTAACGAAAAAACTAACTCGCAGAAGGGCAACAAAAAACGTATAAATTCAGTTTTCTAGGCGTCCGTAAAGTTTGACTAACAGCGATTGGCTGGTTGTTGAGTAAATGCTTTCCTCGGATCCATTTAATAGCGCAAGCAACATTAATGCAACCCGAGACTGTCAGAAAAGCCTCGTGGATGCCGGGTACAAATCTCGCACACCTGGACGAAAACCTTTTGTGTATGCTAGAAAGTTTATAGCATCAGCTAATGCACATACATGTAGAATGAAGCATCTCCGACCCCATCAAGTGAATAAATTCTAAGTCAGCATCAATAGCTTAGTTGATCCAACGATATCCGTAGGTATGATCGCATCCATCTCAGAAGATTTAAGAGTTACGGACTTGATTTTCAAAGTAGCTCCTCCTAAGGCCCGCGCAGTACGAGGTTGTTTCTAATAATGGGTAACTTGCAACTTTGACAGAGCAAGGACGGGGACTACCAGCCTATATAATATATTATGAGTAAAAGAAATTCATTTTCAAACTTAATTTTAAACGAAGTTGCTCGGATTACCCATCACTAAGAAGAGTAACGCGCGTACATTTGATTGCAAAATTTCTAGCCTGGCTTTTCGCTCTTCAGACGAACGAATGCCGATCTTGTGGCTTGTTGACACGAGCATCAAAATCAGACGCCAGACTGCCTTCAGCAGAGCTGGTCCATGGTGCTCAACGTTGTTTTCTTTTCGAAGAACATTGAGCGAAAAAACATTATACTTATGAACGACGCTTAGAACTTTTCCTTAATCCATGATAAATTACCTTAGATATTATTTAATTGTAAAGGCAAAGGAAGAAATAATAAATGCTTTTCCCAAAGCACACCTTGTGCAATAACTTTTGTCATACTCGCCCACATAAATTGACTACTTTTATTTTTGCAGAGTGTAAGCAGGAGAAGGCGAGCAAGCACTTGTTTGCATGTGTGAATTATGCATGCATGAGTACACCAAAATATGTATATATGTGTTGTTATTCACTGCAGTCGCTTTTGCAGCCGAAGAATTAATTTTCTTAGTTTTCTAGCGCTGACCAAAACCTATCCCAAATTTGTATTCTCATTAGTATGTATGTCGTCTACTGTTGATATTTAATAAATTTTTAACTTAATTCTTAATTGCATTTTTTTTTATTTCTCAATTAAGAGAGTACATTCTATTTTTAGCTTTCTCACTCTTTAAGCTGTGAGATTGCAAATGTTCTGATTTAGTTTTCATTCTGAATTTTGTGAAAATCATAGTATCATCTTGTTGAATGGCGTTACTCATCTCATATGTTTAATGGCTAGTGATGATATGTTTGAAGTCTTGTGGAAATTCTGAAATTATTCTTCATACAGATCTTCGGAAAGGAGGTTAAACCCGATTGGATGGTAAACTAAATGTTAAAAAAGTTTTTCACGAATTTTAAACAGTTGCGATACATTTTTTAAGCCCGTTTCCTAACCTTCACAAGATCAATACAGTAAGAATCAGCATGCTAGCTCTTACAGTTTTGAGCGTGCGTCGATCACCAATCATTGGGTATATATAACGACTAAACATTTTAAGCGTTAAAGATTTTATCAGGGAGATCGATCATTAAAATCAGTTCAGATTTGCGGTAGTGCATGTACGAACCTTTAAAAAAAGGACTAAAAAAAATAACGCTTGTATCACGTTCATAGAAAAGAAAATATTTTTCGTTTTCAAATGACACTGTAAGTTAAAAAATTAATGGTGCAGCCATTTCGCGTTTTCAGAAATAGATTAATATTGTCGTACAGACTAGGTATATTTAATTTTCTAGGCACCTTACCATAAAAAAACACAATTTGCACAATAATCATAAACTATTATTGAGGAATTCATTATTCATAGAGAGCCGTTGGAAGAAGAAGCACGGCTGTTTGCGGCGGGCGTGCTTGAGTGTGTATGTTTACAAGGAAGTTTTAGTGTATGTCTATCTATAGCCCTATCGACTAGGAAAAATACTATTTGCGTACTGTATTTGATTGTGCATGAATAACTATCATATTTATAAAAATGCTAATTAGATTATGTAGGTACTACTTTAACAATTTTTATAATCTTTTTTTTTCAGGTGTTGCATGTTCTCAACAAAAATGGTTTATTCAGGAACGCTTGTAATAAATATATTGATATGACGGGACATATTAATAATGAAACAGAAATTAAAGCATATAGTTATAATAAAAAACAAATTATAATTTATAAAAGACAACAATCATCATATTTGGAGACCAATATGGCAAACACAATATCTATAATGTCCAATGCGTTACGAAATGTTGTGAGCAAAAAACGCAGACGCTACAAGGAAAAAGGATTTAATTTGGATCTTTCCTGTAAGAATTACCTTTGCATTATTTATATATTATTAGTGTTTATCAATATACAAACCTTATAAAGCTAAAGCATTTTAAGAGATTCCATAAAAAAAATTCTAATTCCAATTTATTTAGTGCTCAATCGGATATTCTATTTATCTTGTAACTTACCGATCACATAAGTTTTTTTCGAGACTTCACTTACATTTGCCAAAACGAATGTTCTGCTCTCTAAATAGATATTCTTACAAGCTTCTTAATATTTGTTTTGAATCTTGACAGTACACTCTGATCTAAAAGTAAATATTCCTTGATCAGGCAATTGTAACAATTTTTCTTTTGCGCTACTGCCCGGAACTCTAAAGATGCGAATATCTTATCGCTTCTTACTTAATTTAGTTTGTAATTAGAAAATGAGTTCTGAGTACTGAATCGATGGCACACCTCATTGGTAGTCCATCTAAAGCCGGTCTCGCAGTATATGGCCTCAACTAGACGTTTCCGATAGCCGTTGAAACGATTGCAGTGGCCCTTTGCAGGTCGGCTTAATATATCTATAATATGTACCATGTGGAGCATAGGTTGCCCAACTGCTTCTTGGTGTCGAAGCTCAGCCATGCAGTTCCTTAATAACTATTGTATACGGCCACTCCCCTTCGAGTTGGTTCGGGTGCAAGTTTATATAAGCTGCTTCGAATAATTTTTTAAAAATCTCCTAATGTGTCTCCATCTTCGGCATTAATCGGGCTGCTGAGGTATAGGTCAACAAATACCACTCCCATAACTCAGTCAAAATTCTACCGATTTTCATAAGGCTTGACTTTTTGTTCATGGTTTGATCTCCATATCAATTTGGCATCTAAACTTTGTCCATACTATGTAGAACCCATTTTTTTACCCAGGAAGAAAAAAGAAAGGGTAGATGATTTTTCATTTTCACACAGATTTAAAGATAAGTTTCTAGTTTCTTGGATAAAAACAAATTAATATCATATATAGTTCTACGGATGTTTGAAAAAGTGTAAGTCGCACTTCAAACAGCTTTTCCATGAAATCTTTGATAATAAGTTTGAAGCGAATGCTCAACAAAAAAAGTTGTAAACAATTTTATTCAAAATATAGTTTAAGCGCTAACATACAAGGGCAAGTCATGTAAAAGTACAAATTGCACGATTTTAACCATTGAACCGTATTAGTCAGTCAGTTTATTTAGTATATGATTACCAATGTGTTAAATTCCTTTCTTTTTTTTCAGATATATGCCCTAATATTATTGCGATGGGATATCCTGCGCCAGACATATTCGAAGGCATTTACCGAAATCGCCTAGATGATGTTTATAAATTTCTGGAAGAAAATCACGGAGATCATTACAGAATATATAATTTATGCCAAGAACGGAGTTACGACATTAATAAATTTCACAGGGTTAGATACAAAAAGTTAATATCGTCAAAGCTTGCATAAAAATTTACATTTCTAGAGAGTTGCAACTTACCCATTTGAGGATCATAACCCTCCCACCATTGAGCTGATACAACGTTTCTGTCATGACGTTGATTCCTGGCTTAACAGAGACCCGTTAAATGTCGTAGCCGTGCATTGCAAAGCTGGAAAAGGAAGAACCGGTAAGCAAAACTCTATTTTTATATTATTTCTCAAAAGAACTTACGAATATTGGTTTCTATTTATCTATTTGCTTTTGTTGCATATGAGTTGGTAATATTTGTGAACTATGAAATATAAAAAAAAAACGCTGCTCTTACATTTAAACTAGAATATAATAGGTCCTGCTGACACCTAGTGTTCTTAGTTATAATTGATCCTTTGTTAAAAAAAGCATCTATCCTTATCTATCTATCTATCTATACGGAAGTAATGCCTTGCAAAGAGATGTAACGCCCAACAATAGAACACATTGAAAATAGGGGGCATAAATTTATGTAACTCCTTGCCGTTTACACTGTGCATTGTTCATCACTCGTTCAGTCAGGACCAGCTATTTTGTATATGTAGCTGGTGAGCGTGGTATGTACTTCCTATTATCACGTGTGTATAGGCTGTAGTTATCATTGTCATATGTTACACATGAATTGGCTAGTTCCGTAAAACCGGTTTAAGCTCATGTTTGTTATTATAATGACCAATACCATAATCATATATACCTTTAGTAGGAATATTTATAAGAAATTGAGAGGTGGGGTATATTCTAGTCGGGTATCCTTGACTCTTGAACTCCCTTTTAATAAACGTTTTGAGCTGATATGGCTATATGGTTTTCAACCTTAACGTAACGATATCATCCAAATCAAAGCTATAGATTCGATTAGTCATCTATTATAGGCAGCTTCTTTAATTTAGATTTCTTGAGTACTTGTACTAAAATATAGTACATAATTTTTGAAAATTTATATTTAACAGGTACAATGATATGTGCATATTTGGTCCATAGTAAATTGAAGAAAACAGCAGATGATGCGTTGGCCTATTATGACGAAAAACGTACAAAAGACCGGAAAGGAGTAACAATTCCATCTCAACGTAGATATGTTCAGTATTATTCAAATTTAATCCCAGATGTACGGTATGAAGTAACAACTCTTTACGTAAGTATGCACTTCAATTTATCTGTAAGAAACCTTTAGCAAAGTTTTTTCATTTTTAAAGGTTTCTGAAATCCGTTTTACCGAGACAAATTACTTGCATAATCTTGGTACAGTGCAATGTTCAATTTCTGACAGGCAAGACTCTTCAACAGACAAACTTAAGGCGCATGTATGTATATATATTTGTTTAAACAAACTAACATGTTTGGGTTTTGAATGTGAAATTATATTTTAAAAAATATAATTGAAACTATCTAGCAAATACTATTTTTGGGCTCGTGGCTACGTAGACGATTCCGTATATACGTTTGTTTCCATGCTTTTGTTTGGAATAAACTACTCTGTTACTCTGAACTTGAGTAAGATAAGAATCAAATTGTCCCGTTTTACAGTCTTATGTGTTTATCCGAGTCAACCTTGCAATGTCCGTCCTTGTCCTGTTTATTTCAAATGATCGATCGCTCACACAATTTTTGATTAAGTTATATATCGGGAGATAGATGGAACTAAGAAGTTTATCAAGAACGCAATTTACGTATAAAATCTGGGTCCAAGGGAAGAAAAAGCACAATAACTCAGAGGCCCGACATTCCAATTAACCGGTTGTCTGAATATAAGATACTTGGCCGGCAACGATGTTCCTTTGAGGAAACAAGATCGGTAGCTGACCTAGTGTACCAGCTGTCAAAAATGCAGACATACGGCAATATGCTGTTGCACTACCGACATAAGCATAAATACTTTGAACAGGCAACTAGATATCCCGTCTATGCCCGGAAACTATCTACATGCATCGACCTCGTCAATTCTCTGGAGCAGCCCCTAGAACAGCTAGTAAAGGTAAACCAACTCGGCCTATTGGGAGGGAGGCACATCTTCGAAGACCCGTTGTACAGCTTGAAGTGGCTCACTGGGAGGCTCACGTCTATCAGTTGTTAACTGTTTGTTATGGTATACAACAAATTCGAGCCTTAATCGATTGTTGCAAGTGCCTTAGCGTGCTTCACAACTTATTTCACTAACGTAAGAAGCGATTAAAATAAAACTTAAAAGTTTCATCTTGATTTTCATGATAAGGTAAAACGCACGAAAATGGTTGAAAATTTTATAGGTAAAACAGCATTTTAAAGAAGCGCCTTTATCCACACAGAACATCTATTACAAATATGCGGTTTTCACATTATGAGTACCAGTTTTTACATGTTATGTTTTCACTTTATATAGTAAGCGCATTCATTATTTTTTATTTCTTCTTTTACCTAGGAACTGAAAACTTGGACAATTGATTTTCAAAAAACTTTTATATTGGATATAAGTAATTCACCCTTGACAGTTTCTGGTGATATTAAAGTCGAACTTACTCAAAAATCATCAAGGAAGATGATTTGCCACTTCTGGCTTAATACATTCTTTTTGCAAAATAATGCGGGTATGTATGAATTTTCTAAATAAATAAAATTTATAATCTATTAGATACCTTAAGAGTGAACGTATTTGAAGTAGCAGGCAGTGGGATTGAATTGGGAATTGAGAAGCATATGCTTTGGTAAATAATAATGTTCGAAATTGCGTCTCTAGTGAATTTGAATGACATAACCTTGTCACCATTGCATATCAAGCTTAGATTGATCAAAACATTTGTAAAAGCTATTCGATGGACCATCAAATTAAAAAACTTTTGGAAAATGAGGAGTTTGAATTATATTTTCACATCAGATGAGCAAGACCCCTGGACTCATTCATAAATGCGAACTATATTTGAATCGTCCAAAAATATATACAAAAGAAGAAGATTATGAATCAACAAAAAGTGCTCTAGTCGTATAGCCTGACTGGAAGAAGCCCAGTCTTTTCTTCTACCAACCCCAGATGCAGCTCGCCCCGTGGTTGTTTGCTCAAGCGCAATACTTTTTAAAATATTTAATTGGTAAAGAAATATGCTAGTATTATTAGAAATATAAAGCGTATAAATAACATAATTAATCTATATTTAAAACTTACCAAATTAGCTAATGAGATTCTTGAGTAATGATCAAATGCAGGCTGACTTCTCAAAATACTTTAAAAATATTTAAACAGTAATTTACCATGTTAAGAACATCACAACTTAAAGGTGTTCGATATGAACAAATAATTATTATGTTTATTTTACTGGCGCCGAGGCCCTTTTCGGTTCATTGAATGATTCTAAAAAAGACGCTTACCAACGACTACACGTTTATGTATGGCAGGCTGCACTGTCAACATTAGTTCGATTGATTTTCAATTTTGTGGTGACACGCTTTAAATGTTTTCTTAATATTGTATATTTCAGCTAGCAGTACCGATGAAAACACCGATAAATTTACGCATACCTTAATTAAATCTGAAATTGATGGTGCACATAAAGACAAAGATCATAAATCGTTTTCGGAGGATTTTAAGGTAAAAATTATTTACTCATAACAAACAAAATAAAGTCTGAAAAGGACGTACTTAAATATTTTTGTGTGTTGTTCCTAAGGGCAGGTGTTACGTGGTCCGCAGAGTACTTGAAGGTTTATTTGAGTGGCAGCAAAGCACATTAATGCCGGAAAAACCAACAGTGCGACAGGTGGTAGAGATAGTATAACAAATCGCTAAAATATGTAAGGCAGTGAATAATGTCTCTTTGGTGACGGCCTGAATCAGTTTAAATGTGTGCCTCAACTTCGAATTGCGAGCTTTACGGCTTTGCAAAATGGTATAAAATTCCCAAATCGGACATTATTTGGCTGAGATATTCCAAAAAATCATCAAAAAAAGTTGACTACAAACGAATCTGTTTTTAGTCAACGACTCGTTTTAACCCATCGATTTTTAAAATGTTTGAATGCCAATTGATAGTAGGGATCCGTTCATCAAAAAAAGTTGACTACAAACGAATCTGTTTTTAGTCAACGACTCGTTTTAACCCATCGATTTTTAAAATGTTTGTATGCCAATTGATAGTAGGGATCCGTACGAATTCAAAAAGGTATAACATTTCAAAATCTAACAATATTTACCCGAGATATTAAAAAATAATCATCAAAAAGTTGTGATTATCGAACCGACCCCGATTTTTAGAAAAAACGTGATGTAACCCCTTGCCATTTGGCCAATTTGGGTGAAAATTTAGATTTTCATTTTTTGATGCCAATCGATATTACTGATCCTTACGAGTCCAAAATGGTATAAAATTCCCAAATCGGACATTATTTGGCAGAGATATTCCAAAAAATCATCAAAAATGGTTGACTTTACAAAGGAATCTAATTTTGACCAACCACTCGATTTAACCCATCGATTTTTAAAATGTTTGAATGCCAATTGATAGTAGGGATCCGTACGAATTCAAAAAGGTATAACATTTCAATATCTGACATCAAAAAAGGTTGACTTTACAAACGAATCTGTTTTTGGTCAACCACTCGTTTTTACCAATCGATTTTTAAAATGTTTGAATGCCAATTGATAATAGGGATCCCTACGAATTCAAAAAGGTATAACATTTTAAAGTCTGACAATATTTACCCGAGATATTCAAAAAAAAACATCAAAATAGTTGTGATTTTCGAACCGACCCCGATTTTTAGAAAAAACGTGATGTAACCCCTTGCCATTTGCCCAATTTGGGTGAAAATTTAGATTTTCATTTTTTGATGCCAATCGATAGTACTGATCCTTACGAGTCCAAAATGGTATAAAATTCCCAAATCTGACATTATTTGGCTGAGATATTCCAAAAAATCATCAAAAAAGGTTGACTTTGCAAACGAATCTGTTTTTGGTCAACCACTCGTTTTAACCAATCGATTTTTAAAATGTTTGAATGCCAATTGATAGTAGGGATCCCTACGAATTCAAAAAGGTATAACATTTCAAAATCTGACAATATTTACCTGAGATATTCAAAAAAAAACATCAAATAAGTTGTGATTTTCGAACCGACCCCGATTTTTAGAAAAAACGTGATGTAACCCCTTGCCATTTGCCCAATTTGGGTGAAAATTTAGATTTTCATTTTTTGATGCCAATCGATAGTACTGATCCTTACGAGTCCAAAATGGTATAAAATTCCCAAATCGGACATTATTTGGCTGAGATATTCCAAAAAATCATCAAAAAAGGTTGACTTTGCAAACGAATCTGTTTTTGGTCAACCACTCGTTTTAACCAATCGATTTTTAAAATGTTTGAATGCCAATTGATAGTAGGGATCCCTACGAATTCAAAAAGGTATAACATTTCAAAATCTGACAATATTTACCTGAGATATTCAAAAAAAAACATCAAATAAGTTGTGATTTTCGAACCGACCCCGATTTTTAGAAAAAACGTGATGTAACCCCTTGCCATTTGCCCAATTTGGGTGAAAATTTAGATTTTCATTTTTTGATGCCAATCGATAGTACTGATCCTTACGAGTCCAAAATGGTATAAAATTCCCAAATCGGACATTATTTGGCTGAGATATTCCAAAAAATCATCAAAAAAGGTTGACTTTACAAACGAATCTGTTTTTGGTCAACCACTCGTTTTAACCAATCGATTTTTAAAATGTTTGAATGCCAATTGATAATAGGGATCCCTACGAATTCAAAAAGGTATAACATTTTAAAGTCTGACAATATTTACCCGAGATATTCAAAAAAAAACATCAAAATAGTTGTGATTTTCGAACCGACCCCGATTTTTAGAAAAAACGTGATGTAACCCCTTGCCATTTTACACATGATATTCAGTTTTTGATGCCAATTAATAGTACTGATCCTTACGAGTCCAAAATGGTATAAAACTCCCAAATCGGACATTATTTGGCTGAGATATTCCAAAAAATCATCAAAAAAGGTTGACTTTACAAGCGAATCTGTTTTTGGTCAACCACTCGTTTTAACCAATCGATTTTTAAAATGTTTGAATGCCAATTGATAGTAGGGATCCGTACGAATTCAAAAAGGTATAACATTTCAAAATCTGACAATATTTACCCGAGATATTAAAAAAATATCATCAAAAAAGTTATGTTCTTCGAACCGACCCCGATTTTTAGAAAAAACGTGATGTAACCCCTTGCCATTTTGCCGATTTTGGTGAAAATTTAGATTTTCATTTTTTTGATACCAATCGATAGAACTGATCCTTACGAGTCCAAAATGGTATAAAATTCCCAAATCGGACATTATTTGGCTGAGATATTCCAAAAAAGTCATTATCGAACCGACCCCGATTTTTAGAAAAAACGTGATGGTAACCCCTTGCCATTTTGCCGATTTTGGTGAAAATTTAGATTTTCAATTTTTTGATGCTAATCGATAGTACTGATCCTTACGAGTCCAAAATGGTATAAAATTCCCAAATCGGACATTATTTGGCAGAGATATTCCAAAAAATCATCAAAAAAGGTTGACTTTACAAGCGAATCTGTTTTTGGTCAACCACTCGTTTTAACCAATCGATTTTTAAAATGTTTGAATGCCAATTGATAGTAGGGATCCCTACGAATTCAAAAAGGTATAACATTTCAAAATCTGACAATATTTACCCGAGATATTCCAAAAAAATCATCAAAATAGTTGTGATTTTCGAACCGACCCCGATTTTTAGAAAATCGTGATGTAACCCGTAACCCCTTGCCATTTGGCCAATTTGGGTGAAAATTTAGATTTTCATTTTTTTGATACCAATCGATAGAACTGATCCTTACGAGTCCAAAATGGTATAAAATTCCCAAATCGGACATTATTTGGCTGAGATATTCCAAAAAAGTCATTATCGAACCGACCCCGATTTTTAGAAAAAACGTGATGGTAACCCCTTGCCATTTTGCCGATTTTGGTGAAAATTTAGATTTTCAATTTTTTGATGCTAATCGATAGTACTGATCCTTACGAGTCCAAAATGGTATAAAATTCCCAAATCGGACATTATTTGGCAGAGATATTCCAAAAAATCATCAAAAATGGTTGACTTTACAAAGGAATCTAATTTTGACCAAACCTCGATTTAACCCATCGATTTTTAAAATGTTTGAATGCCAATTGATAGTAGGGATCCGTACGAATTCAAAAAGGTATAACATTTCAATATCTGACATCAAAAAAGGTTGACTTTACAAACGAATCTGTTTTTGGTCAACCACTCGTTTTTACCAATCGATTTTAAATGTTTGAATGCCAATTGATAGTAGGGATCCCTACGAATTCAAAAAGGTATAACATTTCAAAATCTGACAATATTTACCCGAGATATTCCAAAAAAATCATCAAAATAGTTGTGATTTTCGAACCGACCCCGATTTTTAGAAAATCGTGATGTAACCCGTAACCCCTTGCCATTTGGCCAATTTGGGTGAAAATTTAGATTTTCTTTTTTTGATCCCAATCGATAGAACTGATCCTTACGAGTCCAAAATGGTATAAAATTCCCAAATCGGACATTATTTGGCTGAGATATTCCAAAAAAGTCATTATCGAACCGACCCCGATTTTTAGAAAAAACGTGATGGTAACCCCTTGCCATTTGGCCAATTTGGGTGAAAATTTAGATTTTCATTTTTTTGATACCAATCGATAGAACTGATCCTTACGAGTCCAAAATGGTATAAAATTCCCAAATCGGACATTATTTGGCTGAGATATTCCAAAAAATCATCAAAAAAGGTTGACTTTACAAGCGAATCTGTTTTTGGTCAACCACTCGTTTTAACCAATCGATTTTTAAAATGTTTGAATGCCAATTGATAGTAGGGATCCGTACGAATTCAAAAAGGTATAACATTTCAAAATCTGACAATATTTACCCGAGATATTAAAAAAATATCATCAAAAAAGTTATGTTATTCGAACCGACCCCGATTTTTAGAAAAAACGTGATGTAACCCCTTGCCATTTGGCCAATTTGGGTGAAAATTTAGATTTTCAATTTTTTGATGCTAATCGATAGTACTGATCCTTACGAGTCCAAAATGGTATAAAATTCCCAAATCGGACATTATTTGGCAGAGATATTCCAAAATATCATCAAAAAAGGTTGACTTTACAAGCGAATCTGTTTTTGGTCAACCACTCGTTTTAAACAATCGATTTTTAAAATGTTTGAATGCCAATTGATAGTAGGGATCCCTACGAATTCAAAAAGGTATAACATTTCAAAATCTGACAATATTTACCCGAGATATTAAAAAAATATCATCAAAAAAGTTGTGATTTTCGAACCGACACCGATTTTTAGAAAAAACGTGATGTAACCCCTTGCCATTTGGCCAATTTGGGTGAAAATTTAGGTTTTCATTTTTTGATGCCAATCGATAGTACTGATCCTTACGAGTCCAAAATGGTATAAAATTCCCGAATCGGACATTATTTGGCTGAGATATTCCAAAAAATCATCAAAAAAGGTGACTTTACAAACGAATCTGTTTTTGGTCAACCACTCGTTTTAACCAATCGATTAAAATGTTTGAATGCCAATTGATAGTAGGGATCCCTACGAATTCAAAAAGGTATAACATTTCAAAATCTGACAATATTTACCCGAGATATTCAAAAAAAAACATCAAATAAGTTGTGATTTTCGAACCGACACCGATTTTTAGAAAAAATGTGATGTAACCCCTTGCCATTTGGCCAATTTGGGTGAAAATTTAGATTTTCATTTTGTGATGCCAATCGATAGTACTGATCCTTACGAGTCCAAAATGGTATAAAATTCCCAAATCGGACATTATTTGGCTGAGATATTCCAAAAAATCATCAAAAAAGGTTGACTTTACAAATGAATCTGTTTTTTGTCAACGACTCGTTTTAACCCATCGATTTTTAAAATGTTTGAATGCCAATTGATAGTAGGGATCCGTACGAATTTAAAAAGGTATAACATTTCAAAATCTGACAATGTTTACTCGAGATATTAAAAAAAATCATCAAAAAAGGTGACTTTACAAACGAATTTGTTTTTGGTCAACCACTCGTTTTAACCCATCGATTTTTAAAATGTTTGAATGCCAATTGATAGTAGGGATCCGTACGAATTCAAAAAGGTATAACATTTCAAAATATGACAATGTTTACCCGAGATATTCAAAAAAAATCATCAAAAAAGTTGTGATTTTCGAACCGACCCCGATTTTTAGAAAAAACGTGATGTAACCCCTTGCCATTTGGCCAACTTGGGTGAAAATTTAGATTTTCATTTTCTTGATGCCAATCGATAGTACTGATCCTTACGAGTCCAAAATGGTATAAAATTCCCAAATCGGACATTATTTGGCTGAGATATTCCAAAAAATCATCAAAAAAGGTGACTTTACAAACGAATCTGTTTTTGGTCAACCACTCGTTTTAACCCATCGATTTTTAAAATGTTTGAATGCCAATTGATAGTAGGGATCCCTACGAATTCAAAAAGGTATAACATTTCAAAATATGACAATGTTTACCCGAGATATTCAAAAAAATTATCAAAAAATTGTGATTTTCGAACCGACCCCGATTTTAAAAAAAAAACGTGATGTAACCCCTTGCCATTTGACCAATTTGGCTGAAAATTTAGATTTTCATTTTTGATGCCAATCGATAGTACTGATCCTTACGAGTCCAAAATGGTATAAAATTCCCAACTGTTAACTAGCTGTTGTTTAACATTTCTCTGCAAGGTAGCTGTTAATTAACATAACACTGTTAACAGCTGCTGCTATGAAGGGGGCGTGAGATTTGAACGGAAATTTGGCAAAAATACCAGGCGAACAGAAATGCCCAGTAGGCAGACGAACTAAAATTTTTATGAATGAAAAATTTCATTGCATACCCACAAAGGTACAAAAAGAGCATACATATTTCTGGACCGTTTCTGTGCGCATTTTGCAGAGATTCTGTCGTTCACTAGGACTATATCAATAGTTTGGTATGACCAAGGATATGTGGGTCTACTAGGTACCGTCGATTGGGCGGGGGATTTTGCTGGGCGATAGCTGAAAGAAAAAGCATTCATATTTTTTGACCATTTCGGTCATTTAGGTTCGTTAGGACGTTATCTTTGGTAGCGTAAAACCAAGGATAAATGGGTCATCTAGGAACCATTGGTGTTGCTTGTGCTTTTATATAGTTAATATATAATTTTATTTATTTCTCTCTTTTTCGTTTACATTTATGTACTTACATCTAGTTTAGTTTAGTGTTTCTTTTTGCACTTTTATCATTTTGTTTGTTTCGCTTTGTTTCAAACTTAATTTCAAAGCCTTACATATGAACCTCATGAATACGTGTTTCAGCGATTTTTAAAATTCAATTTTTTGCCTTCAAGATTCTTACCACAAGACTAACATGGGCGGAAACTGTTGATTCCAACTTTATGGTTTTTTTTTACATGTTGTTTGCTTAATTTCAATTTTACTGTTATTGTGGGAACAACTTAAATTAAATTTACATTAATATTTACAATAAAACTTATTCTACTGTTAAGTCTAACATAAAAAATGTACAAGGGTAGGGTGTTTATATAAACCGATCTGAGAGATCGATTGGATAACCAACTTTATGGTTATTTATTCGATGCATTTTAAAGATATTTTTTAATAGATGTGCAGTTCAGATCCCCGGGCGGAAACTCGTTGGGAAAGTAACATCTAAAATTATTAAAACCCGCTGGAATAAATATATATAACGAAATAATATTAACTTGAATTTCTTTTTCGTACTTGCAGATCTCTCTTGTATTTATAAAAGAAAAAAAATGCTTCGACAGTATAAACGCTGAACCGTCTGCAGAAAATAATTGGAGCCATAATCGAAGCTCGGATTTTTTTCCTGGTGATAATGATAAGAATCTGAACAGTGAGGGTTCTGATATAAACTCTCCGTCCTCAAGTCGTTTGTTCGAAGGTCCATTTCATACCAGTGATGAAATAGGTGAAACAAAATCGCACCTAATAGAACATAACAGAAAACTTGTAAGTGTAATGTGCTAGAAAAAAAAATTCTAAAGATATAAACGTATTTTTGTTAGACAAAAAATCAACACAAAAAATCAACTATCTCAAAACTTCCTGCGTTGACATCTAAACGAAAACAGTCTTCATCAAAATGCCCATTAAGCGTTAGTAATACTTCGTCAGGCAAGGACAACAAAAAGCTGCATATTTTTAATCAACCGTCCGCTATACCATTCGATAAAGTGCCAATAAGGAGGCATCACAATAAAATGTATGAAAAAACCTCTGATAGTCGACGTATATTTGATCGATGTAATATTTCCAACCTTTCTGGCGGGGATAAGATCTTCGAACAGAAGTCATACAATAATTGCAAACGATCATCTTCTGACTTGAATCAAACTGGTGAAGAAGGAGATGAAGATTGGGAATCCGGTGAGTCTACTCTTCACCTACTAACACCAAAATTACAACCATTACTTTTAGTATACCTTGTACCCAATTATTCAATATCGGAAACAACAAACAAAGGCAAACAATTTTCTTTAAACCAATAGCAATTACAAATACTTTTATCTAGCTCCCACTCAAAGAGTAATGTATATAAAATAATAATATTTTTATTAAGATAGATTTCCTTACTGCTTATTAAATTTTTTAACGGGTGACGGGTTAAAAATATCAAATCTCGAGCTCTTATGGTTACCAAAATCGCCGCGTTTATATATACGGACGGACAGTCGGCCCAAGAATAGCTTTGGGAAGTCCTTAGTAAGAAAGTGGAAGTGGCAGTGAAGTACATATATATTCTTGCTGAGCGTCAAAAGCCATGTACGTCTTTTCGTATTCATGAACGCTTAGATCTTGGAACCTAGAGGGCTACAGACTTGAAATTTTAAATGTATGTTTGTGGTTCTTCCACCTGATGCCTGATTCCCCGTTTAGCCAGAGCCGGCGATAGTGATATTCCATCCTGAGGATGGAAATCATTCGAAAAGTTTTGCACACGGCTGAAGGAAGTAATTGCGCTGTTGCTCTATACCAGAAATGCAGTATCGTCTGCGAATTTCGCTGTCAGTGTTTCACGGCTGTCTAAAATGGGATGATACCTTGTATAAACAGCATAAAAGATTGCCCCCTAAGGGACAGCAGTGCGAATGGGGATCATTCCGGAGTGAGCGGATTGACTTTCAGGAACAAATCTAGCTTGCCTACTGAAGCCATTCGGCAAACAGGGGCATAAGCTTATAAAAGAAACCCTCAGGCCAGACTGGGTCGAATGCCTGTTGAACGTCCGGGAAATCAGCGGCACAGTACAACAATACTCAACAATGCTCAACCGCACTGTGGCGTCACTCGGATTCGAATTGATGGTTTGGTAGAGCATCTGCAGAGGTTTTTATTTTACTATGTTCTGAAACTATAAAAACCCTTCTATCTGATTCAATTTTAAGGCAATGCATTTTACAACTTTGTGCGCCTCTCGCACAGATATAATAAACGTTTGCTTTAATGGTAATGAAATGTACAATAATAATAAAATAAAAAAATCATGTTTAAAATGCCTCAGGGAAATAAGTATATGTGCATTTTTATTTTTTGCCTTCGAAAGTCTTCTTTATATATGGAATACGATTTCCAACCTTCTTAAGAATTTCGATAGTTACAGTTATATTTAGCGGCAGACCGACAGACTTATAAATAACACCGCTTATTTACAAGTAAACGGAAATTTTCACGACTTGTAATTCCAGTTTAGTGTGCCGGGTACATATATAAAAAATGTCTTAAAAAATGGGTTTAAATTTACTTTAAACGATGGTTAGATTGGCCGGATTTGGGAAGTTTTTAATAAATGTCGGGTTTTTGTTGTGAGACTTAAAAGAGTCGGGTTTTTGTTGTGAGACTTAAAAGAGTCTGGGTCAGATTATTATATTATGATCCAATGTTGACAAAATGTTGCTCATATGTTAATTTGCTACACTATCTCTGCAGCGATATGCATATTTTCTGTATTTGCATTTTTAAAATAATAAAATAGTTTTGTGCAATTGTATGTAACAGAGAAAAAAACCTTTTCCGGTCCCATAAGGTATTTATATATATTTATATATACATATATGTATATTTATCGGCATTAAAAGGCAAATCCATTAAACCATGTCCGTCCGAGTGTCCGTACCTCCGTCCGTATTATTGAACGCACCGATCTCAGAGACAATACGAGCTTGGGACTTTAAAAGTTAGAGACTTGCCTTGTTTCCATAAAGTCAATAAAAATCGATAATGGTATCCTGGCCTCTTCGGAGATATAAAGATGTATGCAACGATTGCACTTTTATTTAATGTTTACGTTTTTGCGTGTTTGTTACCTTATGAATTTTGTATGAATGTACACATACGCTTGTATAAACATTTAAGGTATTTGTTTACAATTTAATAATATAATAATATTTTATCAATTTACCAAGGGTAGTTTACTATGTTTACCAGAGTTAAATATTGTGGTCTTTAGACAAATTTGTACTATTATTATTTCTTTGCGAACAATGCCCTTACTCGCTGTAAAATTATTCTCCCCGCGAAGCTACCAATCCCTAGCTTCAAAAATGTATTAAGTCTACAAGTGAAGGCTGAGTTCAGTAAAAGCTTCGAATGTTATATAAATATTCAGCAATACATCTCGTCCAACACCCTTACAATAAAAAAAACAAAGTTCATCATGGCAATCCAAGCCAGAACTGATAGGTTGGGTAGCAGCCAAGTTTGTCTACTTAGTACCAATATTGTAAGTTGTTCTATGATTTATTCTGCGATCTATAGTCAGAGTAAGTTGTTATGTATTAAAGAAAATGAATTTCCAAGATCTTAATTTACAGAACTATGGAGCTAGTACAACCGGCACTACATAAGGAGACAGATTTCAACAATGTTCCGCTGAGTTCTGAGAATTGTTACTAAGGCCTGCTGTATCTACCTTAAGCAGCAGAGTCATCAAAAAATGTGGTGAGTCTCTTTTGTGCAGTCACCAAAAATAACTTGTTCAGAGTGAAAAAAAGCCCGGAAACTTGAATATTTTTTCGAATATCCCATATGTAGTTTGAAAGTTTTGTTCAATTTCAACTATTTTAATGTAAAAACTTGTTGTACCATGACAAATAACATTCGTATATGCTCAAACTGTCAATTGATTTAAAATTGTGGCTTAAATTAGTGGATTGTTCTAATTGATTATTTATTTGTTTTATAGCTATGGGGAGGTGGCAATAGCTGTTAAATAAGCTTCACGTCAAAATTGATAACTCTATCTCTTAAAACCAAAGAGATTTGCTCAAAAAACAGGATTTCGATATCGATTCTTATCGGTTGGGTGGAAACCGCAATTTATCGATTATCGGAAACAAACTCGTACTACGCGGGCACAACGTTGACGTTAATAATTACAAGTCTCTCGCTCTTTTAGGGTTTGAGAACGACGCGTTCATATATACGGACGGACAAACAGACAGACGGACATGGCTAGACCGACTCGGCTATTGATGCTGATCAAGAATATATCTACTTAATGAGGTCGGTCCCGCTGGATGTTACATACCTTTGCACAAAAAGATTACCATTTTTTGGGTTCAGCCTGGGCCGAATGTTCTATCATATATGGCTACGTCCAGTCGGCCATAATGAGAAGAATCTCACTCATTTCTATTTTATAAATAACTGAAATGACAAATGAAATAATTATAATTTACGTAACATTTTTGTTTTGGTTTTGTGGGGAATAAAAACTAACATTTTTTTTTAATTTTTGCAAAATTTTTAATGGGTCTGGCCCGTCGATGTGCAAAATTTGTTGTTTAAAGAAAAGAATCGTCTAAATTATTTAGATGACTGTGTGTTTTGAGATTTAACACAAGAAGAATCCACAGATGCATGCAAGTTTGCATTTGCTTCATCCAATCAAACTAATTGAGTAGAATCTCATTTATTTTGTTTAATAAAAAGCTTGTTATTATAAAAGGACCGCAAAAGGACTTTTTCTTTGATACGTTTGGGCCTGGTTTCCCTATATTTGTGTAATAGTATTTGGAAGGTAGGTTTATTTTCACTTATGTTATTATTATTTTAATGTTTCCACTATACTTTTATATGTCTTTCGATTTTATTTATGTTTATGTTTCATTCTTTAAAATTCTTCTTCTTCGCAAGAAAAAAATTCGACCAAAAATTAAATATTTTTAATTTGTTTACAATTAAATAGTAACTTAGAGTTCTCTCAGCGATTCTACTCTACACACAAAATGTCCGTACTCGGATCTATAGTATATAGTTCAATTGTTGTTGTATTAGCTAAAGATAAATAATAGTTTAGTAATTTCTCTCAATTATGCTATCTGAACGTAAAACATTTATAGTCAAGTACTTTTAACAAAAGACGATACCTTCTTCTTCTTCTTCTTCTTGTTATTGAGCCCTTTTCATTTTTAATTTCAGATTTATATCCGGGGTGATATCAACATCAACCATGACAAGAGGTGATAGCACACCACTCCACACTTTTTGGCTGCCATTATGTTATTTATTTATTTTTAAAATGTAAAAACAACAAGCTTGTACAGTTTATGTTTTTAAGGATAAGCTCTAGAAAGCGGTTATTGTTTTAGCCTAAACTAAAAATAAGAGTATAATTTTAGCTCAAAGAAAAGCCCTGTCACTGTATATTTTTGTAGCCTTTCCTGAAAATATAAGCAAAATTAAATAGTACTGTTGCAACATGTAAAATTAAGCTGCACAGTGTTGTTCCACTTCAAATTCGATTACGTGTTTTGGTTGCTTTGGCGTGTGACTGACAAATTCACAAATATAGAGAAATCTCATGCTTGCCCCCTTCACACCCAACGATTGAATAACTGTGGGTAAACATATTTATTATTATTCTTATTATTTATATTAATGTTTTATAATTATGATCAAACCCAATTAATTGAGACGAGCACGAGAAATTATTGGAAAACTGTTTGAATTTCGCATAATTATTTTTACAAGGTAATTGTTTACAAGGTGAAACCGAAAAGTCTACTTGTAAATTTAATAATAATAATATTTCATATGAGATATAAACCACTGTCAAGAAGAAATCGTAGGAACTATCGGATAGTAATTGACTTTTCTTGAGAAAATATTTTTTTGTTTATAAAACGTTTTGATTTTTATATTATACCCTGATCCCATTGAAAATTGGTAATAAATTCTTCGTCAGCGACATTAGCTGAGTCGATCTAGTCATGTCCGTCTGTATGTATGAACGCATCGATCTCAGAACCTATAAAAGCAAGAGTCTTGAAAATTTGTCCTACTGTCCGCGCCGTACGAGTTGCCAACAATCGATAACTGGTCCCGTTTTCAAGCGATCGATAAAAATTGACGGAGTTCTGAAAATACAGGTAGATTTAAATTTTTCACGGGCGGGAAGTGGTGAAGCAAAAAACTTGAAACAGGCAAGTCTGGGAAATACCGGCGACTATATTATATAGTTCCAATATGAACAGTGCGTTCGAAATTAAATATTTGTACGGAACACAGTTGGCTAAGTATTGATTTCTCGCATATCTGCTCCATATTTTTTAATGGTATTTGTCACTTCGAAATAAACAGTTTTTTATGTTTTAAGTAAATCTTTATGGTATGTTTTGTGTCTGTAACTCGTATAGTCCAATATAGGCTCAAAAAAACGAGGCTAATAATCGAGTTACATAGATTTTTAACTCTCGGTTGCATTTCTTCCTTTTGAAGGGACGACTAATATGAAAAAAACAAGGGTTTGGATGCGAAATTATTGTGTTTAAGCTCATTTTTTTTATAGGGGTACCTACAACAGGCACCTGTGTGGAAATTTGGCGAAAACTGTGAAACTTGTTTCCTTATTATCAATTTAAAGCTCATTTTCAATGATCTTTGTCAGAATTTATTTGATACCCCTTCACATGTTCACGACAAGACTAACATGGGGGTGGGGATCAAGATGGTACTGGTGGAAGGAAAGGTATCTAAAATTTGTAGCACCAAACTTTCCTCGGGCAAGGCCGGAGAATACACGCTAGTAAGGAAAATATGCATATAATAAATATGTGCATACAATAATTACAATATATCTGCTCATCCCAACCATTTTTTTATTACTTCCTTTAAAGTATGGCCTTTATCTTTAATCCAAATAAAAACGAAACTCTATTTAAGTAAAAGTTGTTGATGCAGAAACGCGTCTATGGTCTTATTTCATAGTCCGAAACGCATTTGCTGCGCAAAAAAAATAAAGAAACACATTTTTGTGTGGAAGTGGATTAGCCAATTGGCAAATTCAAATTCTTCTTGATATTAGAGTATTAATCACCAAATCGATATTATATCATTGATTCATTATTCTTTAACAAATGTCTAAATAATGCATACATTTATTATTATATTGCAGGTGAATCAACATACCTTTAAATAAATTGTATTTTGGACCTTCTTTTCTCGGAGATCTACAGATATTTTAATAATAGCTGCTAACATTTGTTTTTATAAATGTATCTGAATTTGTAAATATATATTTAGACCTAAAATAGAATTATTATTATAAATTAATTTCTTTTTGGATTTGTACTTTACGACATTAAGCAAGGAAAAATAAAATAAAATTCGTCTTAGTTTGTTATACAAATGAGCAAAATGATACAAGTACATTTTATTACATTACATTTTAGTCATATTTACATTTTAAATGTATATACGAGTTAATACCAGCAAATCGATGTCTGCTGGTCCAGCTGAAAGACCGGATGCCGACGCTACAAAGTAGCTTCATCGACCGCTGATATTCGTTGAAAAAAAGTGGAGATCGGTATCGAGCACCTGAAACAGCTATTTACCAAAATCCAAGAAGGTCAATGTCAAAATCTAGATTTTCATTTTTCCAATGCCAATCGATAGTAATGATCCTTACGAGTCCAAAATGGTATAAAATTCCCAAATCGGACATTATTTGACAGAGATATTCAAAAAAAATCATTAAAGCTCATTAGGACAAACCCGTATAATTTGCAAGTATAACACTGTCCGATACGGAACTAAACCAATCTACCGTAAAAAAGGAAATGCTAGCCATAATTTAGCCAACTAAATATTGGGTAGGGTATACCTAGCTCTATGGTTATAAGTTGAAAAGTATAACAGACTATAGACCATTAACATCGCTAATGAGTTTTAAATAGCCCAATACTAAGTTAGAACGTTAGAAACTCCAACTTATATAGTTATATAGCGAGATGCATCAAGCTCCAGAGGGGGGTCAAGCAAACGAACGATCTTATCCTCCAGGCTACAGCAGAGTTCAATAAATAAAAAAGTAACTAGCAAAATCCAAAAGGCTCAAACAACCCAAAACCAAAAGGTTAACCGGGATAGGCAGAACAGGGTTTTTGAGGTAGGAAAAGGTACTAGTAAAATACAACAGGAGGCTAGAAATCAAGCTCACCCGGTTATGTTCAGAAGAAAACGTTGAAGCTGATTTAGGAACAACTGTCCTTATTAAAAGGAGGTTGGTCCACAAGGACAACCTTCGATAAATCCTTAGACTGCCTTGTGAACGCTCTTCTTTTTACATTAGATTCACTCGGACGATACACCGGTTATAGACGGGGACGTACTAATATGTAATGGACGTAAATACTTAACACATTCCTCAAACCTCTCCAACTACAGACTGATGACGGACGAGACTCTAATGTGAACGGCCATGTTCCCACAATCTCACATACGGAAATTGTTAGAAGTAGACTCAGGATTCGTAGACAGCTTTGCGCTCTGGTTTGTAATCATCATCTTCCTAACGGAGTAAATCAGGAAGCGACGAGACACCCGCAAAATCATGGAATTGTTGGAAAGTCTTGGTACGATCGAGGACGGTTGCACTTTATGAGGGGAGTAGTTGACCACATACTGCCGGCTACCATCGAGAAGCGCCCACGCCGCGTCTTCGGCGGTTAGCGGCACGTGCGACGGCTAGCAGCGGGCCAAATATCAGCGACAGCGCATTGCAAAACATCCGCTGACAAACTGGGTCGCCTGCGCGAGGCGCCTATGCTACGTTAATTGGCCGCACCGACAGCAGCGCTTTGCAGTTTACTTGTAGCTTTTGCTTTGTTGTATTCTTAGTCTTAATTCAGAAACGACCTAAAAATCGACCAGAATCGAACTAAAAACTCACCTGTTTTATTGATGCGCCGATCGATCATCCAACACATTACCTCAATAGTCAAATTGATACATGTATACATGTATAGAAATTTTTGTAACTTGAGGGCATTCTAGAATGAGGTCGTGGAAAGATCCTTGACCAGCTCCAGGGGAACTGCATGAGGTGAATTGACTGGAGCTTTATTTCGTGTGTCTGATTTAAAGAAAAACGCTCCACAATAGTGAACGCCCGAGACTTTAAAGGCTCGACAACCAGTCAGTTGTGAAGTGGGAAATCCGACCAGTAGTAGAATCGAAGCAAAAAGCTCTATATAACAGGACCATCAATACTTCATTCAATGAATATCCTGACGAGTAGCTGCTAAACCGTCGAAAACGACTCACAATTTTCAACTGTCCTCTTTAAATACACAGTGGTGAGGAAGAAAATATTTTCATAGTCCTAGGGATTCTGGAGCAACATGCGTCGTATGACCTAGATCCAAATATTCCTGTAAAAAGTTGGAATATTGAGTCTTGAGGTCAAGGCGATTTGAATGGGTCAGAAATAGACGAAAAGCTTGTTAGTATTTCTTCCCAAGAAATTTCAAACTTACCTTGAAGGGTCACGCCTCGAATATTGGACCCTAGGCAATCTGGTATATGTCCTTCTTTAAAGTGGTAGGTGCAGTTTCTAAGCAGGTTTTCTATCTCCCAAAATCGTCGCACTAATTTATTTGCTCGTCGTTCAGAGCTTTGTTTAAGTTTTCCTACAGCAATCAACGTGGATCCACCCAAACGCGGTCCTAGGTTGACTATCAGTTATGGTAGGCACTACTGGAGACTGTATCGTAATAGTTAACCTATTTCTTTCTGTGTCTTGGGCTGCATTAACTGAAGCTGGTGATGAAGCTGAGAGCCGGAATCCAAGAAGGCACGACCAGGTATCAATGTTCCGGAGAAGTTTTTGACGAAGACCATAGCAGTAGCCAACAGGACAACATCACTGCTGAAATACTGGGCAACGAGAGAGGCTGAGGTAGATGGCGTCGATTTAGAGACAGAGGCATGGGCAACTGATGATGAATAAGCAGGTGCAGTTATGTGACTCGAAGACAGAATTATTTAAATGCAGCAGGGAATAATGGTTCGCTCCGCAGCTCCGACGTCATCCAGAGCTGCATGATCGCAAATGAGGACTCCTTTTCAGACAATTCAGGCACAATGCACGTCGTCTTGCTTCCCTAAGCCGAGAACAAATATATATCCCATGACCAGGTCTGTTTTGTCTGCGTAATCAGACCAGAGTCATCAGTACTCCTAATACCCAACAAAGATAACGGCCAAGTCGAATAAAATCTTATAGAGACCTACATTAATTTAATTTTTTTTTTTCAGTGTAAAAAACGTACAATATAATAAAATATTTTTAATAATATGTTAATTAAGTTAATTAATGGGTTTGTTCAAGTCCTTGCGTTCTATACAGTGTAAAAGAGTCATAAACATGTTCGAGCTCTGACAATCGGTATTCCTCCAAACAGACAATACCTTGCAGCGATGGTGATAGCTTCAGTACACAAGGTAGACAATGG